CGGGTGACTTTGTCTGGCTCAGAGTAAAGCCAGAAGGTCTTATGGCTGTAAGAAAATGTCTGACTGTTTTAACAGGCATTGTGCCAGACCAAGGCAACATATATTCCAACTGTCTGTGCTAAGGTCCTGCTTGCTGAGTATTCCTGTTCTTGACAGCAGGGAGGGAAATCAAGGCTCAGCCCAGAATCCCAAAGCAAAGAGAGATTTCTGCTGAATTTTCTCTCCAGTAGGCAGTGGCTGCTTCCATCGCGCCGAGCAAACTTTTCTTCCAGAACAACAATAGCCTGCCTTGGTTATTACTGGAGCAAGGCCAAAATATTTCCCTTCAGAGCAATAATATTGTTACAGCAAAAGAGCTGCCGAACGGAACCTGCTTGGACTGTCCTGTTTGTGGGTTAGGGCCACCTCCTCCCCAGTTGTGCTTCAGGTCTGCTGTAATTATCAGGCTGGCTAAGATGGTATTCACATCCCTGTTACTCCTGCACTTGTTCTCTGATAGTTTCCTTTCCTTGCTTTCTCACCTCTGCTGCTGCAGCAGAACATGTTGTCCCCGGATGAGAAAAGGAGGCACCAGGCAGGGTGAGTAGGAGGAGTGTTGAGGGCTTCCAGCTCAGTGCTCTGGTTGTTCCATTATGGAGCAGGACAACTCATCAGGCATTAACACTGGATAAAGGAGCTGCCATGAGGGCAGGCCTCTGTGGGCTGTAGGAAAGAGGATTTTCTGCAGTTGTCTTGTAAAATTCCACTGGCATTTTTGAAAGGAAGGAGGATTTGCTCCCACTTTATGGACCTGGGAACTGGAGCATGAGACTGTTCATTGCCCTACTTCTTGATAATCCAAACATTTGCATCTTTCATTGTCTGGAACAAGACCTGCAGAAATTTAGGACCTCTGTGAATCAAGCTGCTTTCCTAACCTCCATAGTGCTTCGGTGACAGACTAGAGTGGATGTCTAAGTATGGATGTGAGGAGGAGAAAAGAGAAGATCTGCTAACGGATCTTGTATTTCCTTACACTAGAATCCCTGGCAGTGGCTCTAACAATTTAGATCTTCCTAGCTAAGAACTGCACTTCCTCTGTGGCCACAAATGACAGGTTTATTTTTTTTTATACTGCATTTGGCCATATTTGCTTTTTGAACACAAATTTGCCCCTTTGTAGCCTGCAGTGTTTCCTCACACCATTCTTGTTGTTCTGGTATTGCAGTGCTGTTGCTGGAATAACTGGTGAGAATGTGCTGGCAACAGACTATTAATGTTGTTCTTCTCTAGCAGAAATGGTCAAAAAGGGGGGCTTTGCATGGTAGGGTGTGTCAACTTAGGAGAGAATATTTCAGTCTAGGAATAGAGCAGATGAGATGCACAGGGAACTCATTTCATCCGAGTTGAGGTGGGTTTCCATATGAGATAGAGGGAACTTTAGCTGTTGCAAAAGTCCTGGCACATGTCAGGAGTTGTTTCCTTGGAAGATTTTACCGTTGTGTTCTCAATTGCACTGGACCTTTTCTCTTATTTGAGTAGAATTCTTGGGAGTAGATTAGGTATGATCCAAAATCTGTTTTCCTCTTAATCTTTTTTTTTTTTTTTTTCCCCCCTCTTTGCCTTTTCCCTTCAGGTTATTTTTGCTGTTGCACATGTCAACTTCTCAACCCTTCCTTTCCTGGCCGTCCTTCTCTGTGTTTAGATCTTTCTCCAAGAAATCTGGAAAGTTGCATCCATCTCTTTTCCTTCCAAGCACAAGAACAAAAGTGCAAAATAAGTGGTGCATTCCCTGCTGATTTCACAACTTGAACCAATATTTTTCCCAGTGTTTTTGCAGCCTTTCTCCAGAGGGACCTGCCAGATCTTGATCCCTGCTGTAACTCCCAGTGCTGTGGCTGTGCAGTGCTGTGGATTACTAGGATAAGATGTGACCTAGGAAAATGTGACTGCCAGTGGTAAAAGCAGGGAATGTTTTTCTCTACAGGGAAGTTAACACTTTCTTTGCATCAGAGTTTGTTCTAACATGAGTATTTATGCAGAGTTCAAGATACCAGAACATATTTTTACAGGGATCTTTGACACACTTTATAATGTATTTTTAACTTTGATGCAGTGTTGTTGTCACTATTACCTGCAGTACAATACACCTGTTTTACTGAACTACTCGAATACTGGCGTTTTTTAAATCTCATTTTCCTGCCATTTTCAGAGCTGCATGAACAGAGGCAGTCAGTCAGCATGGTTAGGTTCATTCAGAAGAACACTTGAGACTGGCTGCTTGTGATTCTGTGTCCCAGCAGAAACTGGGAAGACAGATATCAGGATACCTGGTTCCTTACTACATTTGTAATTATCCAACACTTCAGTATTTCCAAAAGAAGCATAATGAAACCCCCAAGCATTCATGAGAGAAGGAGGTGTCGTGTCCCTCAGTTTGTACCTGAAACTTCTGTGTGACTCCACATAGAATGTGATTTTGTTTTTTTCTCAATATGATAATAGTTCATTATTGTGCTAAAAGGTTTTCATTGGGGAAAATGTAATTGCTGAGTGATTCGTGCGCTGAAACCTCGCTGTCAATTGAAAATGTTGCTCTAAGAGTTACAGTTTTATTTGATGTGTGCACTGTGGTCTTCTGCTTGTTCTCTTTCACAGCCTGGGGTGCTGTTTTCACTTTCTAGTGTGCCTAGTTAGGTATTCCAAACAGTGAGATTACAGTTTAGATGAATAGTTAAGAAAAATGAAGATAAATACTGCTTGTAAATTGTGGTTGATAAATGACGAATGAAATAATGAATTGGCCTGGCCGTGCTCTGGAGGCTGTGGTAAAGTTAAAATTGAAGCTATTCTGAGTCAGCTTCAGTCGGGACTCTTTGGGAAGAGTTTCAGCTGCACAAGTTGTTTTTTTTATACAGAGTACTTTGGATGTCACCTAACAAACCAAGTTCTCCTGTTCTGACACGAACAACCAAGATTTCCTCCTTTGCTGGCAGACTTCATTAACTGTGTGGCTTTTTTAATCACCCAAAATAGCCTCCACATTGTTGGAGTGTCCTTACTGGTAGGAAGCATGACCTTCTCTCTGATACTGGGCCATCAAAAAGAATGTAGTAAATTTTAATGTGATTGTAACTTAGCCAGCATTTACATGAAGGAAAACAATGATCTTCTTGTTATGGAGATCATTAATGAAACATCAGCACTGGTCTGCAAATGCTACCATGTTGTGATCCAGCTGAAAAAACAGCCTTGTGTAACTTGAGGATGTTGCATAACTCAGGAAGTGGAAAAACAAACTGAATTTTCAGTGGTTGTTTACATTTTAACTAGATCCCAATGAAAAGTCTACAGTGAATAGCTTTTGGAGTAATTTCACTTCTGTGTCCTCTGAAGCAATATCTGTGAGGCTGACCACGTTCCTTCTGGCCCGCTCAGTGCTGGTGTTTGTGGTTGCCTGTTCTCAGCGTGTTAATCTGCTGTTTGAAATTCAAATGGCTTTGTGTTTCAGCTGGGTCATGTGGCACCCTCTGTGTTTCCTATTGGAGAAGGATACGAGTTCTCGGTGTGTTGGGATTTGTAGCTTATTCAAAATTCATCTTCCCTGTGCACTCAGGCGTGGAACTTGGAAATTTGCTTCCCAATTAGGCTCTTGAAAGATAAAAGCAGTAAGTCACGTGTTCCACTAAACTCATGGGAACATAATCATTTACAGAACTTACTTGACATTTTTTATCTAACTTAGCAGTTTCAATGCCAGTACATTCAGGACAAACTCATTTCCCTCCAACTCTTCAGTTCTGTCTCATTGTAGAAAGGCAAAAGTTGCAAAACTCAGCAAGATTTCAGGAGGAGGCAACCAGTCAAAAAACTCTGCAGCTATTTCTTAGAAGGGCTGCCGTTTTCAAGTGTTAAATTCCCATGAGGATCAAGTGTGATCTGAGCCAAGGTTTTGGCATTCAAGTCTGGAACGTTAGTTAACAGCTTTAAAAGTTGATGTTTTTAAACAGAGATTTTTTTTTTAGGGTGAGTTACAGCCCATGGAAGTGTATCTTGTTATAAAGTTTCTGAAGGAAATTGCATCCAGGTAGAAATTGAATTTAAAGACTGAAAACTCGGAGAACTGAACTGCAGAATGAAACTGTCAGCTCTTGTTACGAGTGGTGTGTAAACCAACACATGCACAGAGTTCAGGAGAGTTATGTTGACTTTTTCTTAGCAGAAGATCTGATTCTGTGACCCAGCAGAAGGGGCACAGACATTGTTGACCAAAAAGAGATTGCTTGGCATTGCCCTTCAGATTGATTTTGCCCTCCATGTGAATTATTAATGGATAGAATTGTGAATTGTGTTTGGTGTTATTAGTGGAAGGCAATGGATATAACTGCTGTAAACCATGGGGCTAACACGACACAGCCCGTATTAACTGCTCTGTTAAACTGTGTAATATTCCACTTGCATTAAGTACTGTGGTTTATTTGATCAACAGAGCTCTCCCATCTCTCCCATCGCTTCCCTTTAGCCCCAGATGCAGCAGTGGCTTTTCAATTGAGTGAGGACACCACATAATTAACGGTTGCCTGGGGATTATTAGTTGGATTTGATTAACTTCAAATTTGGCTATGTTTTTGTAATTATTTTTTCCTTTTCCCCCATGTGAGAGGAATCTGCTTTGGATATATATTGTTGCCCACGTATTTAAAATATGTCAATATGCAAACTGTATTTCCAGTGGGGCAGCACTGGCCAAATCCCAACCTGGGTTAGGTTTATAGGATAACAGTGTAGTGCATTGTTTTGTGTCAAATTCATGGAGCGACACGACACTTAGTTAATTTTCACACCACCACCACCACCCATCTTTCTGTGTATGAAACAAATGTTATGAAACTCAGCAAAAAGGTGAAAGCTGCAGGCTGCCTTTAAAGGGCTGACTGTTTCAGGGCAGATGCTTGATCTAGAGATCTGCTGAGATTAACTGTGTGTGGGTTCCCTTATCTTATTTGTCTTCTACATTTCAGACAACTCTGGAGGTCCCTGACAGCTGTGCTAAGGGCTGAGCACTCACCACAAGACAAGTGGCCTTCTCTGCAGTCGAAGGAGAGAGAAACAAGAGCTGGATGTGAGGAACAAATGTATAAAGCGAAACATGTGCTTTGTGAATGTACATTTTGTGGTGGGTTTAGTTTTACCTGTATAACATACCCATTATATATATGAGTTTTGCCCTCTGGTTGGCCTATTTTGCACAGCAGTAGCCTGGGATAAGAGTTTGTTACAGCTGGGGATGTGCCAGTCTGAGGAGAGAGGAAGGGAGGCAGGTGCATCTGTCTTTAAACTATGTTTTTTGTGCTTGTCTTTATCCTTGGGAAAGCTGGTTTTATAACCCAAGGCTCTGAATCCCGAAGTGGCAAAGGAAGGACCCCTTAATTTCCTCATGAACCTTTGCTTCTGACATTAGAGCAAAGAGATATCTGTCTTAACAGTAAGATGGGACAATTTTCAGTGAAAAAAACAGACAGTGCTTTTGTGCTGCACTGTTTTATTTATTTTTTGTCTACTCCTTGGTTAATTCTCTTCATATTTCTCCATTTCCAAATCTGAACAACAAAACAAAGCCAACTGGGAAGTAACACCTTAGAAATTTAAACCAAAAAATGGCTGCATGCTTTGTTTATCCTGTAATTAATTAAAGGTGGATTTGTCTTTAAAGTACAAAACCAGCCTTTTTTTTTTTTTTGTTAATATTATTTCAAAGAAAGGAAAAGGTATTTTCAGTGCAAAATATTGTTTAAGAACTGTAAACCCCTGAATGGCTTCTGTCCTCAAGTTCTTGTTAATACTTGGGAAACGGCTATGATCTAGAACTCTGTATAATTTACTATGGCTACTTGATTCTGTGATCTCTCAAAGGCCAGGCTGCAGTAATTGGAGCTGAAGGTGCTTAGCCACTGGAACTGCACGAGACAATGGGGGTGAATGTATCTGAACAGAGTACGAGGGGTTGATCAAAGCTGTCTGCCTTATCAAAAGTAATTCCCTGTTGTAACAGGAGGTTGCCTGCTGATACACATGTTTTTAACAGATAGCAAAGCCTATTTTCTGTTATTTTTGCAGGAGGATGTCCTTCTGTTCACCAGCCCGTCCTTCAGTAGAAGTAAGTTCAAAGCGATGTCGAGCAAGTGTCGCTAATCCTTTTGAATTAGTGGTGGGAGTTCACGAGGTCACTTGTAACGGTGATGTAATATGCAGAAAACCTCTAATAACTGAACATGTGCTGCATGTAAAGCCAGAAGCCAAGTAAGCTGGAACACTCACATGAAGTTGAGGGGGGTGTGCTCTGTATCCACATCAAAGGTCTCCCATGCCTTCCACCCAGACAGCGACATGGGGCTGGAAATGTCTCTGCTTTTCTGGCTGTAGCATCAAACATCAGGCTGTTGGAATACAACACATTCAACTTGAACCTCTTAAAACGGGTCCACACTTGAGGAGACTTAGCATGGATGGCACTGTTGCAAATAACTGGGGGTATTTTGCTTGCTTGTTTACCTCCCTCATTGTCACGTTTATTACTGGTGGGATGCATTTATCAAAATCCCACGTATTGCATACCATTCAAAATCTTTCTGTTGTTTCCTCCTGAACGGGCTCAGAGGTTGCATGCAGGAATCCTAATGCTTGTTGCAGTGATATTAAAACACACAATGTCATTCTGCATTAGTTGACAGGTAGAAATTAGCACGCTCTGAATTTGTCAGACCGTTGAACTAAGCAGAATCCTCATTGAGCCTGGTGCTTGATGGCATTGAGCCCTCTGCATTTGCTACTTAGCTTTCTTTATAAATCTGCACTCGTAGTTAGGGCAAAAGTAACTGCCAAAGGAGTGCCAGGACCTCTTAAGTTTGCTCTGATTTGGAACAACCGTAGGGTGGAACTCAGTAGCCTGTAGATAAACTAGCACTGACACGTGAATCAGCAGAGCCTGGCTCTTGGCCTGAGTTACCAAACCCACTGCTCAAGCCTTTTTAAACTGGGAAAGGGCTCTCTAGCTGCAACTAATGTGATTTCCAGGTTGGAAGGTAGTTCAGTGCATCATTGCTTTGGCTGTTTGCTTTGGAGTCCTTTCTGCAGCCTAAATTCCTCTGATTTCCTTGGAGGGAGGGACAAAACATTGTCCTCTCCCAGGAATGAAATGAGATTCCCTTGACTGGAAGATGGGTCCTGTTGCGTGAGTGCAATGATTCATCGCTCGCCTGTGCTGGATGGAACTGTTTTATACCACTGCTAAAGGAGTGTAAAACCCATGGCTTACGCTGGGAGCTGTTTAATTGCACCTCACTGCTGTATTTATGGCTCTGTCTAAGTCTGAGTTTAGTGGAGCTTCCACTGCAAAGCAGCAATGGCATGCTTCTGGGAATTTATGGCATATAGACATGGAATACCTGTTTTCTCAGATGTAACTGGCAGTTTAACCGAGGACCTTTGTACAACATCGTTTGCAATTTGATTTATTTTGACTATCAGCCGTGGTGAGCTCTTAGAAAATCATTCTGAACTAACTCAGGAAACTTCTCAGGAATTGAGTCTCTTGATATGTTTGAGACATTAGTGTTATTTCTCTGTGCTCAGAATGAACAAAGAGATAAATTCTTCACATTTGCTGGAATCACTTCCTTTTTTCCAAGTGCAGGAAGAGCCCAGTGCCTCCAAAATGGCTGAGCAGCAGAACAGTGTGCAGAACATGTGTTTGGAGAGCAGAGCATCAGTTGTCCCTAAATACATCAGCTGCAATTAGGTGGCTGTGGAGTCAGCAAGATTAAAATTCAGAGGCAGCATTGGCATAGGGTGACTTCTGGTCCTGGAGCCTTCATGCAAAGAGTACAATATTCCTCCCCTCTAATCAGAAGCAGATCCTCCCCTCCCAGCTGTCCTCCATACTCTTGCTCACATTCTTATGTTAGGAGTGTGGGCCAGGCAGTGAAAACTTCATTTCCCATAATATCTTCAAGGAAATCTGTGGGATTATCACCACCTGTTACCACTGTGCAGCACTCAGATGCTGTTCCGCTCTGCAAGGTGAGGTAGGAAGTGGATGCAAATGGGAATGACAATTGCAGGAGCACATGGCTGTGAAAGAAAGCCTTGCAGGCAGGATGTCTTGCCTTGGGATCACTGTCTGGATATCTCAGGACTCTACACTTCAGTTTGTGCTCTCAGTTTATTTTCTAAGAAAAGGGGAAAGGAACGTTTTCCAAGTGGTTCCAGAGCAGCAGCAGCTCACAGTGGTGACTCCTGTGCTCTGTTGTACATTATCACCACTTAGAAAGCCTTGCATTTCTAATGGAATAATGTGCTGGTTGGAGGATGGTTTCTACTCTTTGTGAATCCTACTTTTTTTTTCCAGAAAAATACACAAAATAGGTACAATTAGCAGCATAACAAGCAATGTTTTGTCTCCCTGTCATAACCCTCAATTGTTATAGTACAAGTTCATCTGGAAATTGAATAACTGTGTCTTGCTTAGTGATCTGAGAGCAAGCAATGGGAAGGTAAAGAAGACTTGAATGTTTTAAAACAAAAGGGAATATATTCCTGGAAGAATATGGAACAAAGTGCTCTTGTGGCTCCTTCTTTTTGTTCTCTTTGTTGCCTTGTGGAGGGTGCACAAGGATTCATTTAGAGATGCTGCCCTCACTCCTGTGATCATCTCCACGTGGGGGCAGAGGTTGGTCTCCATCATTTTTGCTGGGTGAGGGTATTAATTTTGGAAAAGTCTGTTACCCAGACTGCTTCCATGTTTCTGATCTTTCTCAATGTGATCATGCTGGCTTGTGCTTCCCTCCTGTTGCTAAGGAGGGGATTTTCCAAAGTGCTCTGTTGGCCAGAGTCTGTTCCCATTACAGACATCAGGGAGACTCTCCTGGGTGTAGATGGATAAAGTTTATTGGTGTGGGAAGTCCACCAAAGTGAGCTAGAACAGGTAAAGTACAGAAAAGACCTGGAAGTGTATTTCTGTTCCCTGTCAGTCACCTCCCGTTAGCTGTGACATTGACTGTAGCTGTTCTGGTTACCTGGACATCCCACTGCCAAGATTTTATCCATAGCGTAAAACATCCTATGGACATGGTGTGCCTAAGCAGTGCCTGCCTCCATGGAGTGCTTTTAACACTCAATTCATGGAACCCTGGTAGTGCAGTCTGACAGCCAGGAGTTTTTGCTACCTTTCCAATTTTAGTTAGGAAAGCTATTAGCTGGAAATCCTTGCTTTGGTTTCCTATTTTTGGGATTAATGTAACCAGATGAGTTTTCTGATTGGCTTAGACAGAAATACTGAAGTATTTCTTTTCCAGCTTTCCAGTGTCATCTATATTTGTCAATGACAGTTCTACATTATCACAATATTCTAGATTATCTGTGGTTTTTACTAGGCTCTCTACATACATAACAAAGTCTGTCTCAGCTGTTTTATTCATTGTTAGAAAGATAGCACATTTATCAATCTGCATTGATAGATTTCCTAGCAAAAGGATCAGAAGAGTTTTATTTTTTCCAGCACTGAGCCTGCAGATGTTTTTATTAATCAAGTTAATCTTCCAGGAACACTTTTTGTCTTTATCTGCTGCCTTGAAAGGCAAGAAGAAGCGGTGCTGAGTTTCAGATTTGCTCGGTCACATTTATCTTGTCTAAAGTTTCTGCGCTTGGCTGGGAGTTGCTGTGACAAATGTGAATAAAAGAGGGAGAGATAATTACTACTCTGCAATATTAAAAAGTGTAATTGCAGAGTCAGTGCTACTGTCTAAATAAACCAAAAGAGAGCCAAAAATATGCTCATGCTGCAGAGTTTGGTTCCGGATGCCAAAAATGAACTTGATCTTCCCTGTTGGTGTTCTGGTATAATATTCGAATCCTGTCTCGTTCCAGAGAGAACTGTGGCATTTTGACTTATTTTTCCTCTGCAATAATAATAATAATCTACATTTCCATAGGCTAAGCAGAGTTTCTGGAGAAGGATGCAAGGCCCTTGTCAGAGGACATCGTTCCCAAGTCTCAGACTGGTCTTCTGCTTACCAAAGTGAAGGGGGCATGTTCTGGTTCCTAGGGACCTTATTTTCATTAGGCTCCCTGGCAGAAAAATACTGCCTTTGTCAGGGAAAAAAGTGAAAGAAATGTGAAATCCGCCTCTGACCGTCTCTAGTCCCACCTGTAGGTCCTTGATTAGGTCTGCTAAGCCAGTTGTATCTGTCTGAAGCCATTTAATGCAAAAGCTGTCAGGATTATCTTCCCCTTAGCGTGGCTCTGTTGGAAATAGGGATCCAGTTTGTCATCTGTCTCCTGGATGAGGGAGTTTGGAGAGTTCCTGGACTCCCAGCTGAGATTTAAATCTTGCTTTCTTTGGTGACAGCTCTGCTCCATCTGTTAGCAGTGGTGGCAGTCCCTGGGAATCGTTCCTTCGTGCTCACAAGGGCTGTCTCTTTGCATTGAAGAGAATGAAGAACTCAAGTAGAGTTCAGCAAGGAAACACACACCTTTTAAAGATGGGCAGAGCATTCACTCCTCATCTATCCTGATCCACAGTGAGAACTCCTCAAAGAAGTTAAAGCCAAACAACTTGCTTCTTGGAACCTTGCAACAGATGGTTCTTGGGAGGAGCTGTGGGCATGGGGCATGTTTGGGGTGGGATTGTGACAGCGGTGACTTGCAAGGCCACGGAGTGACCAACATGTGGGAAAAGAGGTTTTCGTGTTCCTTGCCCCTGAACTCATTTCCACACTTACAGGGACTGCAGGCCTACTGGTGCTGACAGCAGATGGCTCAGAAGATTCTCCCAGGAGAGTGTGAAGTAGAAGGAGAGGTGGGATAATTGAGTTCATGCTGTTGGCCCTGCAATCCAGAGCTGTTACAGGCTGCGGAGCGGCACAGAGGAAATGCTCGACCGCGATGGATGTGCAGCAGTAACGAGGTGAAATTGCATTGCCCTTTCCACAGAATTGCTAGTGTGTTAAATATTCCACTGTAAACAGAAGCAAATGAGAAGTCAGAGAGTCCTTAGATGTCTGGTAGAAATGTTGTTAATTCAGCTCTGTAGCTGGGGCTGAACAAGCACAAGCAACGCAAAGCTGAGAACTGTCTTGAGTTTCTTTTGTTTATTTTTAAAAGTCTATGCTTCCTCCCATCAGGCTTGGCCATTTTGGGGAATATATTCCACAAAGAAATAGGAACTGTGTGAATGTGGAAGCATTTCCAGATGGGCTGTGTGTTACAGGAGGGAATATAATCTGTGGGAGATTTGTGAGAAGGAATATATGCCAGTATATAGAAACAAAGGATATATACCTCTGGCTTCTCAAGTATGTTTAGCATGGTAAATCCCCAGAATATGCCTGAAGGGGTGCAGTGCACTCAGCACACATTACTGATAGTGTCACCCTCCAAATAAAATTTTTGAGGAGGCAGGATACGTGGAGTGACAGTACACCAAGGAATGCTTTGCCATCTCTCAAGCCACATGGCAAAATTTCTGCTGGAGAAGTGATGTGTTTTGCTTCTAATCTTATATATATGTAGAGCTGGGAAACACATACAAAGGGTATTACAGAACACAACATCAAAAAAAAAGCCCCAAACCCTGATGTTTTGGCTCTCTAAGCATCCCCTGAGGGATTTTTACAGAAACCATAGCTTCATGTCTCATTGCACATGTCTAAATAAATAGTCAAGACAAGCGTTTTGCATAGGAGATGCTACGGTACAACAGCAAGATTATTAATTTCTTTGCCCCTGGCAAAAGCATTTCATGGCTGCAGTCATCAGCTCCAATTATTTGTTATAGTCTCTTGACTTCTTTGAGTATTGTTTACCCAACAGTATTTACACAGGAGCTCATTTGTGAGAGGGCTTAGCATTTTCAGAGGGTGAAGTTGGTGTGTGTTTAACGTAAATATGAATTATTTCAGAAAACCAGGGCAAGACACACAGAGCAAAACTGGCTGTAAACTGCAGCTGAATTCACAACAGGGAGCTGGACTTACATGGGGTTTAATACTTCAGATTCCTTCCCAATCCTTTTATTTTCTCTGTAGCAATTTCCAGCAAAACCACATCTTATTTCCCCTTGCCGAGACAGACCTAAGCAAATTCCCTTAGGCAGACACCCAGGAATGTGTAATTTAAAAAAAAAAAAAAAAGAAGAAAAGGCAGAGGAGAAAAAGAAAAATGAAATAGCTGCAAGGGTAATCCTGCATTCATAAGCAATTCCAAAAAAAAGAGGCAAATGTAAAATGTCCTCTTGAGTGTAGAAACTTTGTAGGTGGGTATTTACACTTGATAGGTGTTTGCACATATTTGTACATATTTGACAGGTAAACATTTGCTTTACCTCTCATATACGCATACTACTACAGTTTTTCCATCTCCTCTTGCAACAGATACTCGTCTATGGAATGACAAATCCAATTTTTGAGGTCAGTCAATCAAATTCAGAAGTCTTCTGGGATGAACATCAGCTAGAATTTTTGTTGTGGCTGTTTTCTCATTCCTTTATTTGTGCTTTCTACTTGTGACCTAAGCAGCAGATGAAGGGCTTAAGCCCTGGAGAAAGCTGCCATTGAGAGATCTGGTCTTGGTCTGATATAAAGGAATCCTTTAACAGAGCTAATTTATTTATGAACAAGAGAGTATCCAGAGAGGCAAAAAGCAGGGAGAACTTTAAAACAGCAAGATTGCCAATTTATAATTTTGTGTGCAGAGAGGACTAACAAGACTCTTCCTCAGTCTTGGTTGCCTGCTCATGTTTTGAGGGAGGGTTGTTTTTTTCATAAATCCACGTGAGCTGGAGGAGCCACGGTGACAAAGATTCTGAGATCATCCCCAGAGCCATCTAAGCCCCAAGGCCATGTTTGTTCTGTCTCTAACAAAGGCCAAGGTATTGGATTATAACACAGTCCCTGCCATAAATTTAGTATTTCCTCTCTTTAAAGCCATCGAGTTGGGTTGTACTGGCATTGTGTTCCTTCAAAAGTCTTTACAGCTGAAACCCTTCCAGAAGGTGAAAAATTAAATTTCCTGCCTGAGAAGTGCTGAGAGATAAAATCTGCCTTGGTTGCTGTTTCTCCTCAGAAATCCCACCACTGGATAAAAAGTGCCAACTGAACTTCAGTGGGTAATATTGGTGTCATGAACTGTTAAGTGGAAGTTTGATTTCTTCCATCTCTGATGCATTCTCTTGGTGATGTATACATTATTTTAGAAATGGGTTTGTATGTGAGATGAAAAAGAAGAGTAGTTGTGCTGATGAGGAAGGCATGTGCAACAGCCCCTGTGAGCAGTTCAGACTGTATAACTCCAGATACATCCCTGTCTGCCTGCTCACTCCCTGGGTTATGTTGTTCCTTGTACGATGTGAAGAGCAAACTTTCGGAGCATGGGAGGTGCCTTCCCTTTAATGAAGCACTGCAGTGACTTAAGTAGTCTTAAACCTTGGTGTTTGACTGCCACTTGGTGCTGGAATTGTAGTTCTTGGATGTGTGCCTGATTGCTCCGCTGTGGATGACACGTGCCGTGAAGGTGATGTTCTCCTGCCAGCAAGTTTTCGCCTTGAAATGATACAGCAGAAGTCAAAGTGTGAAGTAGATTCACAAAATTCGCCAAAGAATGGTAAAAGGATTCGGTTTCTCAACCTGGTGTAGACTTGCACACAAAGTGATAAGTGGTTTTTTTTCCCCAAAGCTGAAAAATTTGCAGGATTTTCTAAAAGTGCTCCGTTAGCTGTAGTTTTTCTAAAGCAGATAAATTAATACTCCAAACAATTAGCAAACATGATGCTTCAGCAGGCACAACTGTGGGAGAAAGGGCACTTTTTCTGTGTCAGTTGATATTCCTGAAATATGGAAGGTGCAGTTAACCTCATGTTGGTGGTTCTTAGCATCCCTGAAGTGGCTGAAGCAATGGCTTGGCTCCAGTGGGATGTGCTCTTAGAAAGGAGAGTGTTCTGTAATCCTGTTGTTTAGCGATGAATATTTGCACATTTTCTTGGACTGGTTCCCATCATTTACAAGGAGACTGTGGAAAACCCCAGAAAATGTCTTGGCTGGGTTCGCTCAGACAAAGTGAAATAAGCCTTCAATTCCAAGGTATGATACATGCTATTCCTGCTTTGAACACTGCACCTTCATCACATGTGACCTTGCTGTTTGATGGCTTGGCACAGGGCCACGGCATAATTCGATGATCCACTGAAAATCGTGATTCTTTCATGTGGAAAACAATAAAAAGCATATGGGATCAATTATGCTTCGCTATTTCTCTGAGAATTCAAGCACCAGAAATAAAAAAACACTGTCTGAAGACTTTGAATTTCCATTAACTGGAAACAGTTGGTATAAATTATTTTTACTGAAACTGCTCTGCTGGCCCTGGGTAATAAAAGAAAAAATAACATTGGCATTTGATTGACTTCATAGGTGCAAAAAATGTCATGCTCAGAGGGAGCATAAAATTCCAGGTCGGGCAGTGGAATCATTTTATTAAATACCATATTTGTCATGGAGAAGCTTGGAAAAAAGGGTTTCCTGTTGCCTCAATTCCTACAGCATCTCTACTGAGCATGGTGATCAAATATACTGGGTGATGAACATGATGAGTAGCTACAGTAAAAGTAGGAGGTAAGAAGGGAGGCTTCTTGAGTAATAAGAATTTTGGTGGAAATCAAAGCTGAGTTATTCAAGGGAACAGTTTTCCTGCCAATGTATTTCTAAAGCAGGGCTTGGAGCTGGGCTTTGGAAGGTTCAGAGCTGTATGTTCTGGGGTGCTTTACTCTCCCAGGGAGCATGTTCGTTATCACTGACCCTACAGGAGTCAGGAACTCTGCAGACTGGGGGATTTTGTTCCTTTGTTCTTTGGTTTAAGATTGAATTCTGCTGCAGAATTGGGAGTAATTCTGAGTGGCAGCATCTCCACTCAATTGCAATCAAACTTGTGTTACACTGTGTTTGTCTCAACAACCAAGATTTATCTTTATTGCACTCAGTAAACAGCATTTTTTCTGCAGGCTCTGTGATAGGAACAGCTATCAAAGTAGTAGCTTGTACTCAAATAGAAAGTTCAACTGAGCTGATAGGAGCTCTGAGATAGAAATTTAAACATAATGCATCTGGATTTATTATGATAAAGCAATAAGCAATAAAATGGTTGTCAACCAGGAAGTAAAATAGGAAAGCAAGTTAACTTCCAGACTTCTGAATTTTCTCCGTGAGGAACAGACTCTTATCCCTGTTAAATATGACTCGTGTAATGAAACACCACCCAGTATTAGGAGATTAAGTGCCTATAGAGTTACAGTGTAGGTTTATTCAGCACCAGAAAGGGGCACAGATAACTCACCTGAGAGCAGCCCTTCTCCATCCTTTCCCTCATTTGGGTCAGTTGGTGAGAGAGAAATGTCATAAAATTAAATTACTCCCGTTTTCTCCAGCTGGTTTTAGCTTCAGTCCTGATGGCCCAATGCTTTCACCAACATACCCAAGTTTAATACCAGTAAGAAAATCAGATGTATTTGGAAAATGTTAGCATTTGTTTTTCTGAAATAGCATCTGATAGTTAAAGTGCCATATTTTTTCCAGGCTTCTTTCATTAGAGAGACTGATGACTATTACTACAAATATCCCACAGAGCATTCAGTTATGCTGGAGGGAGGGTGCAGATGACATGCCAGAAGCTATGCAAGAGAGATGATGCACATTATTCTCATTTTATGAGCTTGTAGATCTTGGGAAAAGCAGAGATTTGTAATGCCACTCCCTCCAATAATTAAGAGTGTGTGCCTGATTTATGTATCTGTGGTGGGAAGATGGGGTAATCGACCAAAAATATCACGGAAAACAGTCTCTCTATTAAAATGATCTGCCCCAAACTCCACATCTTCTACATTAGTCAGGAGATAAAAGTTTCTTCGAGAAATTGAAG